CCCCAAAACCCCAAAACCCCAAAACCCCATGAAATTTATTTTCAGTTTATTTAAAGATTTGAATAATAAAATCACAAAGTAACTTACTGCTTAATTAAATAAATTCAAAAGCATAAACATATTAAAATCTAAAGAAATAAGCCAATAGCAAGTGATAAACCAATAAGAATGAAGAATTAGAATCCTAAAATATCCTCAAAGTTCCACTAATCAAGAAAGATAAAGTACTGGAAAAACAAAAATACTTATATAACAGCTTTAACGAATTCTTCAACAATTTAAGTTGCTCGATAAAAACTTAGATGCCTTTGATACTAGTAGGCCAAGCTTTTCCTCTATTTTTAAAATAGTAAATCGCACAGCCCGCAGTAAGCAGATCCACCAATGAATATTCCTATTGTTTGCTGAGCACTAATTTGATAAAAATCCCATTCTTTAAGTCTAAATATTACAGCTAGTACACACATTCCAGCAAACATTAGGAAGTTTATAATTGAACCCCATCTCCTATTAGATCTTTAGTAACCATAGTCATTGAATTCATAGCATGCTCTGCATGTGCAGAAAGAAAATAACATTTAAATGCCGATATATGGAATAAACATGAAAAAGGTTGTTCTGGTTATGTGTTCCTAAACATTATCCCTAATCTTAGTGGAGATAAATATGAAAGCTACTGACTCAAACATTGTATTCATTGAAGCAGAACAAATTATATGTAGAAGATATTTAAGCATTCTCATTGAAAATATATTTGATAAAATATCTTTTTGAAGGTATTGGCTTAGCTTCAGATAAGAACCCTCATACTCGTAATGCTCATTGATATGATTTTTACTTAGTTTTGACTAAATTCTGTTGATATAATTTGATTCAGATTCCTCTTCAAAAATACTTGAATTCTTTAGTTTTGGATTTTAATAAGGAGCTTCCATTATTAATGAGAATACAAATGATGCAAATGAAAGGGCTGCGCAATAAATCACAAGATGATTAAGCTTATGTATTGTAGAGATAAGATAAATATTGTAATTAGCAAAAATAAATGCAGCAGCTACTATAGATAAGATTCTGAAAAAAAATATTATTTGCTGGTAGTTCTTTGAGTAAATGTATTCTTTTTTCTTTCTCATTATATCATTTTCTACATTAATTGCACAATGTTTTACATACAAATGATTACCTTCATAACTCATGAAGATCCCGAATCCAAAAATAAAGCTCAAAGCAATTAGAACAGAAAAATGACTGTCCAGATGATACTCTTCTCTATCTGGGAGCATTGTGTATTCAAATATTTTATCAATCATGTAGAAGAAGTAGATAAAAAAGGAAAGTGATAAGAGTGCGCCAGTGCATATTACCAATCTAGAACCAAATGAGATAATAAATCTTGGAACTATTATTCTTGCCAACAGGATCCCAATGTGACAAGCAGCTTAGCATATCAACCCATATTATCCTTTTAAGAAAACATACTCAGTGATGAATGGTAAGAAGGGTATTATGATTTGATAGGGCATTTGTGATATTGAGCCATTTAGCATTGCAAAAAAAATCTTACCCTTTGATGGTTCAGGTTTCTTGTCAATATTTTGCATCCTTTTAACTTTATACCCTATTAATTTAATTATAAATGCTTTCAATTTAGAATATCTATTTTATGGAAAATTTAAAAATACACATATGGGGTTTTGGGGTTTTGGGGTTTTGGGG